AAGGGGAAAATATACATCAGAATTAGGACAAGAATGACTTTACCCTTTTTTGCTTAGAAAATGCCTATTTATCCAAGACCCAGCTTAAAAAGTCAATCCCTCTATGAAGGACTCACTAACTCTCAAAGGCAGTAACTTCTCTTCTGTGTTGCCACCTACCTTCCTCTGTACCTTACTCTCAGAGATGACTTACTCATCACAAAACCCACATTCTCCATCGACCACCATTTATCTGTTCATAGTTCCTAACACACAAGCAGCATAGAAAATACATTTGTTCACTCAACTAAAGCAGAGTAAAATGCGATGGAAGGTCCACAGACTGGAAAACTCAACATAGTAAAGATGTCAATTCTCCTTAAATTGATCTACAGGCTTAATGTAATTCCTATCACAATCCCAGCAAGGTATTTATTTTATAAACACAGACAACTTTATTCTAAAATTTATATGGAAAGGCACAGGCCCTAGAATAGCTAAAACAATGTTGGCAAGGAAGAAAATGGAAATAATCATTCTGCCTGATATTAAGGCTTACTATATAGGTACAATAATCAAAACCCTGTGGTATCAGTGAAGAGACATACATACATTAATATAACAAAACAGAGAACCCAGAAACAGACCCAGATATGTCCAACTGATTTTCTACAAAAGTGCAAAAGTAATCCAATGGAGGAAAACTGTTTTTCAACAAGCAGAGTTAGAGCAATTGGGTATCCATAGGCCACCAAAATAATTAAATTAAATAAAAATTAACTCAAAATGGATCATGAACTAAAACTATGAAAATTTTTAGAAAAAAAATAGGTGAAAATCTTTGAGATCTAGTATTAAGCAAAGACTTTCGAATTGAAAGCACCATCCATAAAGGTAAATATAGATAAACTGGGCCTCATGAAAACTAAAAACTTTGTTCTGCAAAAGACCATGTGAAAAGGATGAAAGGCAAGCTACAGAATGATAAAGTATCTGTAAACCACATATTATCTGATAAAGGAGTAGTATCTGGAATACATAAAGAACTCTCAAAACTCAAAAGAATATAAAACAATCCAATTAGAAAATGGACAAAAGACATGTATAGGCATTTCAGTGAAGAGGACATATAGATGGCAAATAAACACATCAAAGGCTGCTCAGTATCATTAGCCATTGGGTAAATACAAATCAAAACCACAATGAGACATCACTACACATCCATTAGAATACATAAATTAATTATAAAACAAAAACAAAAAACCAATTTGTCTTCATCAAATGCTGGTGAAGATGCAGAGCAATTACAACACAAATAAAAACCACAATGAGATATCAGGACACACCTATTAAAATGTTTAAAAAACGTTAAATGCTAACAAGAATGCAGAGAAACTGGGTCACTCATAAACTGCTAGTGGGAATATAAAATAAAATAGTACAGCCACGGAGAAACAGATTGGCAGTTTCTTAAAAAAACTAAACAGGCAACTACCATATGTATGACCCAACAATAGCACTCTTATGTTCACACAAAACCTGTATATAAATGTTCAGAGCCAAAACCAGAAAATAATCCAGATGTTCTTAAACAGGTAAATAGTTAACAAACTGTGGAACACCCATACAATGGAATACAACTCAGCAATAAAAAGGAAAAAACTATTGATATATACAACTTGGATGAATCTCCGGAATATTATGCTAAATTTAAAAAGCCAATCCTAAAAGGTTATATACAGTATGTTCTATAAATAGAACATCCTTGAAATGAAAAAAGTACACAAATAGAGACCAGGTTAGTAGTTAAAGGGATTAAAAAGGGGCTGAGAGCAAAAGGGAAGCAGCGGTGTGGCTACAAAAGGGCAACATGAAGAATTTTTGTGGTGTGGAAACATTCTCTATCTTGACTGTATCAATGTCAATTTCCTGGTTGATATGTACTATGGTTTATGTTACCAAGGAAACAAACTGGGCAAATGGGTCACGGTCTCTCTCTGTATTATCTCTTACAACGGCATATGAATTTACAGTTACCTCAAAAAAAAAAAGTTTAATTAAAAAAACAGGATGGGGGGTCACCTGGGTGGCTCAGTTGGTTAAGCATCTGCCTTCGGCTCAGGTCGTGATCCCAGGGTCCTGGGATTGAGCCCCGAGTCGGTCTCCCTGCTCAGCGGGGAGTCTGCTTTTCCCTCTCCCTCTGCCCCTCCCCACCCCTGCTCATGTGTGCTCTCTCGCTCTGCTCTCTCTCAAATAAATAAATAAAATCTTAGAAAAAAAAAAAACAAAAACAGGATGGGGCTCCTGGGTGGCTGAGTCGGTTAAGCGACTAACTCTTGATTTCAGCTCAGGTCACGATGGAGCCCCAAGTCAGGCTCCACAGTCAGCAGGGAGTCTGCCTGAGATTTTCTCTCTGTCCCCCACCACCCCACCCCACCCCCGACCCTGGGTATGTGCGCACATGTGTGCACGTGCACTCTCTCTCAAATAAATCAATCAATCTTAAAAAAAAAAAAAAAAAAATTGAAAGGCGAAGAAGTTAACCTTAGAACCTTAGCAGGGAAAAGATCCTCTTTTGGGGGAAAAAAAAAAGAATAGGCTGACAGACGCAAAATACCCAAAAGATGTAATCTCAAGTTCAATGTTAATTGGGTTGCAAAGGATAGGAGTCACCAAAGAGAAGTTCAGTTGGCAGAACTGGGAACTTTAAAGGAATCAAGAAAACTTGGAATGTTAAAAGTCTATGGGGAGCATGATTAAGAATCAATAATAATAATACAGTATTTCCTACTAGTCTTACTGCATCTAAAGCACTAATTTACTACTGCTAATTCATTACACAGAGATTTGTTGATTCTTTTATCTACAAACTGACAGAATATTCACTAAAACTGAAAATTTTTCTAAAAAAATTTTATCATCACAATTTGCATGTCCCTAGGAAATTCAACAAAATGGAACTTTACTTGTAGAATTATAATGTAATCTTAGTAATAGTGAAAATTAATATTTTCACCCCTATCCAAAAGAAAAGGATAGGGAAAATAATGAAAAGGACAGGGATAATCATGAAAAAGATAGGGATAAAATTGGGTCCAAATAAAACAGGTGCATAGAGAAAATGTCTTACGGTCACACAAAAATGGTGACAAAAGTAGAATTAGAATTCGATTCTCAACTATGGTAGTGATCACTATAGTATTTTTTTTTTCCTCCCTCACACAAAGAATCTCTTTCTTCTTATATAAATAAGGGTGCCCTCATGAACTGGGGACTTCTACTACTGGCTAATGCAACAAGCAATGTTTCTTTCTTTTTAACACATAATCTTTATAATGCATCTCAAAAAAGTCTGTGGAGCTTGAATGTTCCAGGATATCTAAGAAGAAAAGTTGCATGTTATGAACTTTCCCAAAGCTGCATCAGCATTCATTTTGAGATAACATTCTTAGACTAAATTCATTGTCAACGATGCCCGATAAAACTCAACCAGGAAAATGTATCCGTTAATTAAAACTTAATTTTAATTCAATAAATATTTCCTGAGTGGTTAATGCCCAGTCACTGTAGAGACACAGCACAACAGTAATGAAAATGTGAAAATGTAACTCTTGCTCTTATCCAGTAAACAGGCAACTACAATAAGATCCAATAAATGGTAAGATACTAAGGAGTCACAGCCCCACAGGAGCATGAGAAGTCACCTACACCAGTAGGAAGACAATCAGACAAGTTAGGGGAAGTGACGTATAAAGAGACCTCAAAGAAAAGCAAGTAACAGCCAGCTGAGAAGCAGAGAGGGATAAATATCACAGAATGACACAAATATTTACAGCCATTCACTTTAAAAAAATACACAAAATGATCTTAAGAGGAGAAGCATTCTCAAGAGAATGAAAACTTTAGTAATAAAAGCTGATAGCCAACAGACTAATGATAACTTTACAGATCAGAGAAAGATAAAATCTAAGCTGGCTATGTGGAAGCACAGAAGAGTCTGCTTGGTGCCAGTGAAAGCAAGAGAAACTCAGTGCCAAGAAAAAGAGGCACCGGGCACCTTCAAAAGTGGCCATGTGAACAGATCATAAAACAAGAAGTTATGGTTGAAATTCTGTCTGAGAGACAAATTAGAAGTCCAGATCTCCATTTCCACTCACAAAAAAGAAAGATTATCCTGTCCCTTCCAGTGACTGGACTCAATGACAACAGGCATACGAGAGGGGAGAAGTGGAAGTAGGGGATGAAAAAAAAGAAGAGGAAGATGAAATGAAATTCTGTTTTCTAAACTGTGAGAATTGTGGCCCCATCCTTCCCCCATGGCAACCAAAATGCCAGCAGTTAGGTTTGTATCTTCTCTAAGTAAGATTCTGGGAAATCTAAGACACACACAACTCTCCTCTCCCATCAGCTCAAAAGGACCTATGCATAATTACAGTTGGAAATTCACCAATGAAATGGCCCTACCAGTTCCCACTATACTGAAGCTCATAGTGTACATGCCCCATACATGTGTGATGAGCTTCCCGTCACATGGTTATGAAAGAAGACTACTGTTTTCCATTTTAAACCTCATTTGGCTTTTTAAAACTATGTACTTTGGGGTGCCTGGGTGGCTCAGTTGTTAAGCATCTGCCTTCAGCTCAGGTCATGATCCCAGCGTCCTGGGATCGAGCCCCACATCGCGCTCCCTGCTCAGTGGGAAGCCTGCTTCTCCCTCTCCCACTCCTCCCTGCTTGTGTTCCCTCTCTCACTGTGTCTCTATCAAATAAATAAAAAAATCTTTAAAAAAATAATAAATTTAAAAAATAAAATAAAATAAAATTATGTACTTCGATAAAAATTATGAAAAACACAATGGCAAGTATAGGTGGGACAAAAAGGAAAAGTAAAAGACTCTAAGTAGAGGATTTTATCATTTTTATATAGAAGATAAATAAAAACAGAATTTAAAACAAATCACTCTCAATCCTAATAAAAGTACATGCCAAAAGAGGGTACCTAAAAAGTAAAAAGGACTCAACCTGTATATCCATTAACGTAAATGGCAACTCCACTAAAAATCGTAGATGAAGTTCCATCCTTCTGTATAGTAGCATCTGATCGAAATTGTTCCTCCAATTTCTGGACCTTGGCAGCCATATACCCACCCTAGAATTTAAAAAAAGGTAAACCAATCACAAAAGTTATATTTTCTTCACCCTCTTTAAGGAAATTTACATTAAAATAAATAAATAAATAAACAAACCGTATTCTACGCTAGTGACCAAGATATAATGATAACATAAGGTATAATTACAAACATTAACCATAAGGCAAGACAATAAAACAGGTCAAGGAAGACTTTTCCCTTTGTCAATTCAATTTTTAACTGTTTTATCACATTCTTATAAATTACTTTAAAAGAGGAGAAAGGTAGGTCAAGAATAATGTTTAATGTCACAAAATATTGTTCTTACCTATAAAATCAAGAAGTTACAATGAAGTTTAAACCAATTAAAAATTTGACATGTGGTCAGTAAGAGTATATTTTTCACTGGCTTCCACTTCTTCTGAATACCAGAAGCTTAAAGTTAGCAACTTAAAGTAAAATGAAACAGTTCAACAAACCAGTATAGCCCTCCATACATGTAGCTACTATAATAGAAGATTCAGGGACCAAATTCTGGATCTAATCAATCTACTTGATAGCAGTAATAATTTTTATTAGAGAACATGTACTTCAGAAAGAATATAAAAACATTATTTTTACTAAAGACCTACATAAATATATGAATTCAGCTACACTTTTCCTAAACACTGACAAAATTAAGCTTAATTATTTGAATTACCAATTAACTCTTTATTGATTTTACTTTACTAAAAAGAACTATCCATTAGATCTTTAAAATACAGCCACAGATATCTAGAAGTGGTACACATACTTCTTCCAAAATGGAAATTACTTCATTGATTATTCAGATATTACATGTTCATTGTGGGAAAAAAATTTTTTTTTCAAAAAATATAGGAAAATATGAAGAAAACTTAAATGAGGTAGGATTCCATTCACTGTTAACATTCTGGGATCTTATTTTCAAAGTTTATTACTATGTCTCAGAATATAGAGGTTTTAGAAAAATAAGATCATATATAATAGTCCTTTATAACACAACATTTTAGTCAAGGCCATCTTGCCAAGTTAAATATAAAGGTAAGGGGCACCTGGGTGGCTCAGTTGGTTAAGCGTCCAACTCTTGATTTTGGCTCAGGTCATGATCTCAGGGTTGTGAGATCAAGCCCCACATCAGGCTCCATGCTAGGCATGGAGCCTGCTTAAGATTCTCTCCCTCTCTCTCTCTGCCCCTCTCCCCACTCTCTCCCTTGAAAGAAAGAAAGAAAGAGAGAGAGAAAGAGAAATGTAAAGATAAATAATGGTTGAATGGTGTTCCACTACATAGAGGCAATTTATCTGATCAATCCCCTACTACAGTATACCATGTTTTCCTGTTTTTCAGTATTAATTAGCACTGCTGCAATACCATTACCATAAATAAATACCTGTGTACCAGAATATTTATTTCCTCAAGATAAAATAAAGTTCACGTGTTAAAAAGTTTAAACAAGCTTTCAATACGTTGTGAAAACTCAGAAGAATTGATACCTAAAGTGATTTACACTTTTAAAAAATGCCTTAAACCACACTATAACCTACAAGAAGAATGAAAAATACCTAGACAATTAAATATAAGTATTTTTATTCTTTTAAAACACACCCATTTTTCCCAGCCATCATTTTCAGCTCGCCTCCTCCATCCACCTCGTCTCATGGTGGAGCTTCTGTATTAAGGGGGAAAAAAAAAAAGTGAATTTTATAACATAATGCACTACTAATTGACATTTTATTTCAAATCAAGAAAAATAAGTTAAAATAAACTCAAATATTCAATTTGTGAAAGTTAAAACTCTTTCCAAAGCATATATTCTCCTGCTTCTAAGTGAAATTTGTACCTAAAACACCTGTAGGTAAGTATCAGGTTTAAATTATAACTACTATAAATTTAGTTTTATAGCAAAAACTTTTATGCATTCCTGAGCATCAAACCTAATATACATTTGCATAAAGAATCACCAAATTAACATGGCCACACTTACTTGTTAACATTAATTAGTATTAAAAGAACCCAAGAAAACATTTTCCTTCATGAATTGCCCTCTGATATGGCTCTTAAACTCTGTCTTTGCTATTACATACTAGACACTTAAGAGTGCAGTCACAGTGTAATTCATCTATTATGCAAAAACCCCTAAAACAAGTCAATTAAAACAACACATCTAGGGGAGATAATGCAGAAGGATTATCACTTATAATAAACTATCAAATCTGGCATTCTCCTTAAGGCACTTGACCCACTATCCCATTAAACCACCAAAATGACCAAATAATGGCTTATTCTCAAGTGTCAGCTGGCTTAGTGGCTAGCAAGATATAAAATGGCTCAGAAGTCAAAGCAGGCATTAAATTGAAACTCCTTATAAAATTCTTCTAGCCATATGGCTACATCTTTAGACATGACTGCATTATCCTTCACGAAATTATCATGTCCTCTATTTAGGTTATTTTTCTTCCACTAACTATGTACAAGTTAATATCAATTAATACGCTATGAGAGAAGCTCTGTACATTATCCAAGTCAAATCAGCTTTGATATGGTTTATAAGAATTTGTCACTAAATGACACCTTAAAACATGACACTTTAGCCACACACATCAGCAGATATTTTCTTTCAAATACTTCTCTATATTTGACATATTATGTGATTTATACTTTTCCCTTGCTGCCATTAATATTAATTAGGAATTTCTACTGTCTACTCTTAAAAGGGGTCTAAAAGATATGTAGAGACATTCTCTTAAAAAATGCAAGTCTGAAAGAGAGACAAGGGGCATGAACAAAGAGCTCTGCAAACAGGAGGCAAGGTGATTAACCCAGATTAGGGGACATGGATGCTGGCGAAGAGAAGAGTTGGCGCTGTTTTCAGTCTGACAAAGGTAGGGGCATGGCTACCCAATGTGTTCATTATGAGTCCCAGAACTGCCATATTTGCTCTACTAAATACTTCTTTTTTCAAGGGGCTCACTTTGTCTAGTCACTCAAGACTTCTCCCCTTACCTTAAAGGAATCTGGGAAATGTGTTAACACACAGTTCTTGATCTCATATAAACTCTGAATCTATACATCTGCCCTTACAAGTAAACAGTTTGGGAGTTCTGGCCATTATATGTTAAGGATGCATACTCACAAAAATTAAAGGCAACAATTAATCAGCTAAATGAAAGTAAGTTAAAGAATAAAATATATTATCAAAGTTTAATTCAGTTGGCTAATCAATTACTTAAGAGCCTTATTCATTTAAGATCTACTGGGTAACTACTGCAAAAGGCCAATATGAAATATTAACAGTGGTTTAATGAGGGTAGAAAACTATGAATCGAAGTTATAATAAATTTAAAAAATTTTTAAAGGTTCTTTCTCTATTCCAAAGTAATAAAGCTATCCCAGACAAATGTTTAAGCTTTGAAAAGGAATGAGACTGAAATTAGTAATTTCATTTCCACTAATTTTACCGAGTACAGCAAGCTCATATTGATTGAGGATTTAAATAATAAGACTGAAAAAAGGGAAAAAGAAATGAGAAACAAATTTCATTTTATACATTCAAATTCTGCTTTTGAGAAACTCCCATAACAAACAGTAAACTAGGTTATTTGGATCAACCTTCCTGCTTAGGAAGAACAAAGCTAGACAAAACATTAAAAAAAAAAAAAAAAAGGCATAGAAGGCCCAGAAAATAATGAAAAATTACCGGGCCAAGATTTACAAGATGAAAAAGAAAACCTGCCACTTCACCTCTCCTTCCCAGATTGGGACAGTTTTTTCCTCTGAGAACACGTGGCAATTATAAAAGAGTAGCTGAAAGGCTGGGCAAGGTTTTTGAACAAACACAGTAAGGGAACAAAAGTTAGAATTTAAGTGTCCTCCAAGAATATAAATCTCCACACTTAGGATTAGGATCCTAGCAGTAAGTAAACTGGAAGTACACAGACCAAGTTTTGCCAAAAACATATCCTACCTTGGATTATTTCAGTCTCTTAAAGTAAATTAAGATGATCCTAGACTACAGAACACAAATATATGGAAGTTAAGTAACATGCTACTAAACAATGAATGAGTCAACCAAGAAATCAAGGAAGAAATCAAAAAATACAAAAAGCCAAATGAAAATGAAAACACAATGGTCTGAAGTCTTTGGAATTCATCAAAGCTGTTCTAAGAGGGAAGTTTATAGCAATACAGGCCTACTTCAAAAAGAAAAATCTCAAATCAAGAACTTAACCTTACACCTGAAGGAGGTAGAAAAACCAGTAGAAAGAAGGAAATAATAACGACTAGAGCAGAAATAAACAAAATAGAAACCAAAAAAACAATAGAACAGATCAATGAAACCAGGAGCTGGTTCTTTGAAAAAACAACAAAACTGATAAACCTTTAGCCGGATGCATAAAAGGAAAAAAAAGAGAGAGAGAGAGAGAATTCGAATCAACAAAATCAGAAATAAAAGAGGAGAAACAACAAACACCACCACAGAAATACGAAGGAATTTAAGAGAATACATATATTTTTTAGATTTTATTTATTTATTTGAGAGAGTGAGAGCACATGCAAGAGAGCATGAGCGGGGTGGAGAAGCAGGCTCCCTGCTAAGCAGGGAGCCCGTGGCGGGGCTCCATCCCAGGACCCTGGGATCATGACCTGAGCTGAAGGCAGACGCTTAACCAACTGAGCCACCCAGGCACCCCAGTTTATAAGAGAATATTATGAAAAATTATATACCAACAAATTGGACAATCTACAAGAAGTAAATTCCTAGAAACAATAACTTCCCAAAACTCAATGAGGAAGAAATAGAAAATCTGAACAGAGCAATTAACAATGAAATTGAATCAGTAATCAAACTCCCAACAAACAAGTCCAGGACCAGACGGCCTCAAAGGTGAATTTTAGAAAACATTTAAAGAAGAACTGATACCAATTCTTCTCAAACTATCCCAAAAACCTGAAGAGGAAGGAATGCTTCCAAATTCATTCTATGAGGCTAGCATTACCCAGATATCAAAACCAGATAAAGACACTACAAAAAAAGGGAACTACATACAGGCCAGTATCTCTGATGAACACAGATGCAAAAATCCTCAACAAAGTATTACCAAGATGAATCTGATAATACATTAAAAAAATCATTATGATCAAGCAAGATTTACCTAGGTATGCAAGGGTGATTCAATATTCACATCAACAAAAAAAGGGAAAACATTCATATGATCTTTTCAATAGATGCAAAAAACGCATTTAACACCCACTCATGACAAAAAACCCTCAACAAAGTAGGTTTAGAGAGAACATAACACAATAAATATCTTATAAGACCTTATAAAACTATACTCAATTGTGAAAAACTGAGTGCCTTTCCCCTAAGATCAGGAACAAGACAAGGATGTCCATTCTCACAACTTTTATTCAACATAGTACTGGAAGTCCTAGCCACAACAATTAGATAACAGAAAGAAAAGGCATCCAAATTGGTAAAGAAGCAACTTTCATCGTTTACAGATGACATGATACTATACATAGAAAACCCTAAAGACTCCACTGATAAATGAATTTGTTAAGGTTACAGAATACAAAATCAATACATGGCAATCTGTTGCATTTCTATACACTAACAATGAAGCAGAAAGAGATATTAATAAAACAATCCCACTTACAATTACACCAAAAAATAAAGTACCTAGGAATAAGCTTAACCAAGGAGGGGAAAAACCTGTACTCTAAAAACTATAAAACATGGATGAAAGAAACTGAAGAAGAAAACAAATGGAAGGATATACCTTGCTCATGGATGGGAGAACCAACAGTTAGAGTATCCATATTACCTATAGCAATCTACAGATTTAATACAATCTGTATTAAAATACCAACAGCGTATTTCACAGAACTAGAACAAATAACTCTAAAATCTGCATAGACCCACAAAAGACCCCAAATAGCCAAAGCAATCTTGAAAAAGAAAAACAAAACTGGAGGTATATCACAATTCCAGATTTTGAGATACACTACAAAGCTGCAGTAATCAAAATAGTATGGTACTGACACAAAAACAGACACAAACATCAATGGAACAGAAAAGAGAGCCCAGAGCTGGTCAGAGAAAGACAAATACCATATGATTTCATTCATATGTGGAATTTAAAACAAAACAAAGAGAAAGAGACAAGCCAAAAAACAGACTGAGAACAAACTGATGGTTACTAGTTACTAGAGGGGAGGTGGGTGGAGAGATGGGTGAAATAAGTGAAGGGGATTAAAGAGTACACTTATCATGATGAGCACTAAGTGATGTACTGAATTGTTGAATCACTGTATTATACACCTGAAACTAATATAACATTGTATGTGAACTATACTAGAATTATAATTAAAAAAAACAAAAAAACAAAAAGATGATTCTGGACTGCTCAGTGCTCCAAAGCATCCAGCAGAAGCAATGTAAATCTTCTATGGAGGATAACAACATCCTAACCTTCCCATGTTTTTGCAAACCATTTGGAAAACACAAAGTCTGGCACACAAATAAAAATAACCAGACACACAAAGTAGTAAGATCCCATGAGTGAGAACCAACAGAAACAAAATAAACTGACCTACACAGATTCCAGATACTGATTTTAACCAGATTAAAAACTGAACTATGCCTACTGTGTTCAAGGAAATAAGCAG